ATTTATAAGAGGAGCGATGCAAATGAGGTGGGATCAACTAAACTAACTGATAACCAAGGAGATTGACTGATGATGATGGAATTTTGAGCCTCGGCGAACAGAATAGGATCATGTATTCGGGGTTCAATTAGGTGAACATTTTACAAACAATGGATTTGTTGGACGGCACTTCTATTACCACTAATAATTATCTTCAATTGTAAACCTTTAGAGGGAGATTACGATCGTAAATGAAACTGCTTTATCGTTACCACCCTCAAACGAAGAATCAAACCAGCGAGAGGGAGCTGTCTGTTCATTTTTCTATACGTTCAAGCCAGATTCCAACAGGTCAGTTGTGTCGGCAGTCGAAAATCAATCGAGTGCGACAACCACCCATCACATGGAAAAAGCGGGGGAGGGATATTCTTCTGAGATATTAGGCTTTTCCTACTGTTGCAATAAGATCATATTGTGATGTCAATTTTTGTACCGGTGTCGGTGTTTCGGTGGTCAGGTTCACCATCACACAGATCCGGAGGTCACGAGTTCAAATCCTGCCGCCATCTCCCAACTGTTTGTTTTCTTTGTGTCCCCGGTCAGCACCCGAGTTGCTGCAGTCCTCTTCCGTTACTGCATGGTAATCTCGTGCAACCGTCTTCAGTTTAGAATAAATTTAAAAGGCTATTTCTACTATAAATCCTTGTGTGTGGGCTAGCCAAATAAGGCTATAGTTTTTCACATCCACATTCGTCTTAGCAACCACATATAATACAATTCATAAAACGGAAACTATTCCACCAAACTTATGACTAAAAGCAATAGCAGGTGTTATTTAGCAGTACTTATTGGTTAGCTCAAACTTAGTGTTCTCCACAACAAAGTTTCTAACCTGTTAATCCACACAATTAGAAAACGAATCAGGCAGAGCCTCACCATCCAGACAGGACCGGCAAAAGTATCCACGCAACGGAACACGAAGTTAAAGCCCCTCGATGCAACTAACTTTACAAACAGGGCGACATAATTTCTCGAATAGACTGTTTGTACACCACGCCCACCCATGTTGGCATCTATCTGCCTCAAAGTCAGGAATCAGAAAGAAATATGTTGTCATTGGTAGTGATGGTGCTCCTGGTGGTGGTGGTGGAGTGGTGAGCTTCCGGTACGCTACCTCTATATGAATGCGATGCTGATTTGTACCCCTTAACCAGTGGCGCACGGTTCCAAAATGCATCACATGTTCATTACTATGTATATTATCTAGCTTGCGTGGGATGTTAGGTGAGCAGCAGAACGGAGAGCCAGTTTCTGTTTCATTTCCGGTAGTACTGTATTATCGGATCAAGGACATCTGAAGGTTATGAGTTGTGAAACTTGTACTCTTGGAAGATGAACAGCAAACGGATCATTTGATCGCCTTCCGTTCATATATAATTTAAGAAAAGTGGGACATTTGTGCATCTTTGCGATCAATTGAGGTGCATCTATCGTCATATATCAGACATTCGGTACAGAACATATAGGAGAAACTGAACAATATACACCAGAACATCTAATGAGATTTTGAGACTGGTTGAAAACTGTCCTTTGAGGACCCCAAATGATTTTATATGTGCGGCGTCAAAAAAATATGTGCGGTTAACAGTATGCGTTTGAACTAGAGGTAAAATTAGTATATGTGCTACAATATAGTATAAATCCCATTGCGCTTAATTAATAGATTCCGACGAGAACATATAAAATCGAAATAACTGATACTAGCTTCTTTGTGGAATGTCCGCGAGGCTCGTTTTCAGTAGTTCTCGCTCCGACACTAAAGTTTTGATGCTATCCTACTAGAAAAGTGTGTAAATGCATTTATTTCTACACACACATAAATATACACAAGCAAACATACATACATACATACATACATGCATACATACATACATACATACATACATGCATGCATACATACATACATATATAGAGTTTTATAACAGTGAATAACTCAGTCTCAGGAAAGACCCATCCCTTTGTTTGATTAATACTCTCAGTCATAATCGAAAAGTTTGACATCCTGTTGACAATGGGGAATCTTTTAGCTCCGACAAATTAACGGAAGAATATTCAGTTTCTATTTGGCATTCATCGTAACCAGGTGTTTCACCCGAATCCCCTAGATCACGAGTGTCTGTGCCCAGTGAGTTCGCCCCCTCTTCCCGTTGAAAATCAGTTGATCGAAGATAGAGTGAGGTAATGCAACCTTGGTGTTAGGTTAAAATAGAACCCGGTAATATACGTTATCCGGACTTGTAGAACGAACGATTCCTGAGCCTGCTCGATGAGAATTCATAGATAGCTGACTTGTATTCGTGTTCATGCGATATTTATTGCCTATCTATCACTTTTTTCAATCCATTGAATTGGGTGAATACAAAGAGATGGTTGAAATCAGTGTCGCTTTCCGGATTGGTCTAGATATGGCATCGAAAATGGTCAATAGCCAGGATTACATCACTACGTTCTCCCACTGGACTGTAAATACTGAATGCGATTAATTATTATTGATTGAGAATGTACAAAGTGATTATTGGTGTCCTACAGCCCAGATCCTGGACTGAACTAAGCGTGAAACACCGACGATAGTGATGAAAATGCCACTTGTCCTTTCGATTGAAAGCATGATCAAGAAGAAGAGAAAGTCCATTTTTTCTCCGTATGATGCTGACATCTTCATGTGCGTTAGTGGGTACGTGTGTGCGAATACGTACTGCTCTGTACACAACTCACATCAACAAAATGAATTTAGAAAATATCCATTTAACTAAGACTACACTCAGTCCGAAACCGTTGCGATAACCTGCTTTGGAACCCTTGAATAACACTGTTTTTCGGTTGGTTTTCCCTAAACGGTGATTCATTTTTCCGATGCATTTATTAAATAACCAATTACATTGAAGAAATTATATCGAGTAAGTTTTCATCCGACTGAATTTTGATATTTTAATTGTCAAGAATTCACAGAAGATCATCCTCCGAATTTTCCTCGTGTTCTGAGTAATCTGCGTCATATATCTGAGGTTGACGACAAAACTTCCCCGAGGAGAGATCAGAGAAGCAAAGCTGATCCAACTAAGCCTGTGGAAAACGGACTTAATCGATAATCTAACTCCTGAGAATGGATATTTTCGTGTCCACACTAAGGAGATAGACATTAGTGTTACGGATTCACTCACTGTGATAAACTAGTTCGAATGGGCTTTGACAATCCCGAAGGGCATGGATGATCTCATGGGTGTCTAAACGGTGCCCCTTAATTGATGCATGTGAGAATTTTCACTTTCAATTCATGCTCTGCTCTATGGGTAGGTAATTTCGCTATTGAAAGTTACGGTTTGCCGATTGCAGATAAGTTGAAAAACAATTATCACAATGCGACTTTAGCATCTCCTTCTGTTTATTTCTTTGGATGATTTGTAAAATCGTCTTATGACCGAGCTAGAATTTTGATCAGTTTTACCTGAAATATCCTGCGTTGAACGTAACTATCGTACGTAAGTAAACTGTATTCTGATCATGCGATGTTTTGTCTGTAGAACAGACTCGTAGATGGTGTCTATTCAAGTAGTCATTTGAATCACATGAAGCACCTATGGGACGAGCCAGAATTCATCAAACGCTTTCTGACACTAAATTTTGGGTGATGGTATGCGGCCACGAACAGACCAGTGACAGCAAGATAAACAAGCCCTTTGATTGCTACCACCTAGCAGGATTGATCCGCGTTCCACCGGTTCGACTGAATGGTAATCTTTTAGAAGGTGTTTGTGAACAGATAATTACTTTCGTATACACGTATGGACAAGGATATTCGGAATCCGGCGAAATTAGATAGATAAAATCGGTTTGTAAAGTTTTTCATATGAGGACATTAATCTGTCAACTGAGAGTATGTAAGACTGATATTATAGGCTCAATCGTAAACCGGGATTTGTTAATTAGTTATATTTATATCTAAAGATTCATATGCTACCCGAAGATATCCGTATTATGATACTCTTTAGATAACTTCACTGAATTACATTGGGTGGAATGAACTGGCGTTTATAGAGGTCAAAGGAGAATGCTTATCGCATGCATTCAGGGAGAAACTGTACCATTTGGGCTGTGGTGGAAAAGATAAAGGCGTTTTGTGCTCTCCGTGGACTTTGGGAAAGGAAGTACGTTTCTACTGCAAAAAATAAACTTCAGAAATGTTTTCAAACCCAAAGTGAACTCATTTTCTACCCTTAACAGTTGATATCACTCTTTAACGTCGAAAAACAGCCGTTCAATCGCATATACACTCTTTGACCTGTAGGTGTTTGTTTCACTGGAGGAAGATATACGTCCGATTACTTTGAAATATAATCTTAAGCTGAGCACTGTTTTTAAGGCCAGCTAGCTATTATTTGTTTCCGTCCAAACGTTATTGAATAGAACCAACTAAACCCTCTAAATATTCAAGGTACAAATTTTCAAATAAACCGATGCGAATCGAGTTTGCTAATCATTATTTTTTACTTATCCTTCAGACCTCATTGGCCTCCGAAACCCTACTGTCATGTCTCATCATTGATGTGAAGAATTCGCGGTTCAGTCGATCGTATATTCGTGAAGCATTCACAGATTTGTTCGGGGTCATGGATGATGTAACTGGGTGGTGGGTTCGAAGTAACGGACAGTTCATTTGCCCTTACCATGGTTGTAAGACTCGAAAAATGACGCTGGTCATTGAGAGCGATGTGTGAACCTATTTGGAATAGGTAGTTTTGATCAGCCGTAGTGTGTGCTCAGTGTTTTACCACGTACCCTTTCTATGCGACTGATCGGAAGTTTACAACCCGGACGGATAGTTGGCTTTGTGCTACAGAAAAGCCTTAACAAGAGCGAAAATCTAGTGTTCCCCGGTACTTGGTGGACCCTTTTGGGGTTAAAAATGAACACTCAAGGATGCTCTGTCAAAATCATGAAATTATCAGTGAATATATGGGAATCTAGGTACTGGTCGTTAGTAATGTCTATTGCTTTTTACTAAACATTTTCAAACTTTATCTTTATGCCGAATCCAATCAACCATTGTTTCTAGATCAAGCTCAAAAGACGGGCAATCACAAACAATGTTTATGAACGTTTTGATAGGGTATGAAACATTTGTATCAATTATTGGGCGTCTGAAAATTGAAATATCTGATTTTTCTCCCCATTCTTATCATACGCAACAGTTTGTCCAAAAGTATTCCACAGTAGATCGTCTGTATCTCCACAAACCAGAGTACCCTCTCCCACGCACTCCTTGGTCTCGGATAGAGCTGAATCTCGCTCTGGTCAAGAAGGAATGGACACGAGCTCCTCCTGGTCAGATGCAGACAGTTCTGAAGCAGATCGGTCAATTCATTGCAGAGAAGAACAACAACAGACACCAACATCGCATTTGTCTGGACAACAACAACAACAGTCACAAACAGATATGATCACACATCGCTCCGGTTCGACGAGAGCCAATTGCAAGAAACCCGGTCCGTACACGTGTGTAGGTTCCGGACCGTCCGGATCGGCCACAGGCGGATGCAAATCGAAGAAGCCACGCAAAGCACGTACCGCGTTCACAGACGTGCAACTTCACGAATTGGAGCAGATGTTCGATCGTCAAAAGTATCTGAGTGTTCAGGACCGGATGGAATTGGCCGAACGATTGCAGTTGACAGACACCCAGGTGAAAACGTGGTACCAAAACAGAAGGTACGTCATCTTGACAGCCATAACACTTCATATCACCGTGACTATCAGTTATGGTAAATACTATGAGTATTGATAGTTACCGCATATGCACAGATTTGCCAAACCGCTGGTGGAACGCAAAGGTTTGAATACCCAGTCATAAATGAATGCGGAGAACTCACAACAACCAGTTACACAAACGCATTCATCACCGAGATTCCCGACTTTCACTGAGTTTGTGCTATCGTCAGCTGTATTGATTTCCATAAATCATCGTTGACATCCATCACTGTGGAAATATCACAAACAGAATTGGTAACGAGATTCTACATGAGGGCATCCAATCAAAATGTCAATAATGTAGCATATTCGGACGTATGCATTAGTCACCGGAGTGATGGTTTTGTCCAGTTAGCACGGTTTGAAATTAGGGCCCCGACTGTGCATTTTAGCATTCCAGAGCCCAATCCTTCCACGTGGGCTCGGATAATTTGTCTGCAAGCGTATGTCAGCTGAGCGACTACTTAAAAATTCAATATTGTGGTTAATTTCAAGCTTATACACACACAGGCTAATGGATTCAGTTCGGAATCTTGAGGATTGCAGCTTGTCCTTCTCCGATCGATACTATCAGACAAATTTTATGGTATTATATGAATAACTGAAAACAGGCTTTTTCGCTTCGTGATATAATTCATAGAATAACCGTATCGATAAATGGGACCAAGTTGGTAACACGAAGACATCTCTTTCTCATATTTGATCGTATCAGACGCATATTTAAACAATTTGGTTAATTTTATAGTTTGAATTCGTCGTGTATAGGACGAATTAAGCGTGAATTGAAAAGCTGCGAAGCATTGTGCAGCTCCGACCTGATTGGGTCTCATCAACAGTGCGAACCCATCGACCCAACTATGGATCGAACCCGGGACCTCACAGGCGAAACTCAAGCATGCTATCCATTCGGCCACCGGGCAGCTGAACAGACCGTTTTTCATTTTCCAATTACACGCTATAGTACAACTTATCTTTGCGAGCGTTTTGTCGGCCACGGACCTCATTCATCTCAGCACTAGCCTCCGGGGTTATGACTCGGTTTGAGACTTTTACAACCAGATTAATTTTTGTTANATATATATATATATACTCCACGCCCACTGCTCAAATTTTGCATTTCCTTTGGTCTCCAGGCATCATTTGGTTTTTAATAACCTCTCTTTGGGTAATTTCATTTATATAAATAAGGGGAATTGATCCATTAAACTATTTGTTATCAACATAACTATCGGTGTTATCATTCTGCTTCTTATTCAAGAAGCAGGGTTGAAATATGCAAATAGCTGTCCTACGAGCGTATTTCCGTGCTCTGGAAGATTTGGTGCCAATTGTTAAGCAACAGTTGCTAAGGTTACATATTAGTACTTTGAAATTTTCACCTCAAGTATGATTCGCCCTTTGACAACAAGATTCATATATTTTTGGTTTATGTAAAATTTTGCGTTTTACTCTTGGATTGGAGATTTTCATCACCGTTGAAAGTGTATAGGGGACTGAGCAAGATTGCCCGCTTATTTGAACCTAGCTTAAACCAGACGATCAGAGGTAGACAGTGTCAAGTGTTTGATACAACCAGTTACCGTCAGGATATTTGTCTCATTCAAAGTTTGGTATAATTTGTGTCAGAAGAAGCGGAGAGTGGTAAAACTACCAGTGTCTGAAACTCAAAGGACTACAGANCAGACGTTTTCTCATCTCTCAATGGGAGATTCATTACTAATTATTTAACGGTCTGAAGATTGTCTTGTTACTGTAAAAATAAACTTGACCGCAAAAGCCGCATCCGAATTAGTGCGTACTCCCTCCAGCGGATCTCCGGTGGGTTGATGGCGTTGTCCCTGTGTACCATAAATTCCGGCTGATGTGATAAAATGCCAACAAGGTCCTGACAAGTACGAATATCAGTAGTAATTTTGATCAAATATTTGAAATGTGTTTACTTGTATTTTCTTTCAAAATGCGGATTCGGTCAACAGTTTGAAAACCATTTGAGAATTGAGGGACTACAAATGATCATGTGAAGAAATGATCAAAATATGTAGTTATCCGTAATCNGAAATACCACTTCAATCAAAGTCAACCTTGAATTCAAGGTCATTTTTGTGCACAGCTTTGAATGTTCGTATTGTTGTCGCTATAATGAAGAAAGCAGCGCTCAAAACCAAAAGTTCCCGTTATCTCAGTGAAGAGGACAGAAACAAAATTGCACGAGCACACAAGCTGGGATTTTGTTGTAAATAAACTCTGTTCTATTCCCTTAAGTAACCTCCTAACTCGTCATGCTCTAGTTCAACCACTACTGATGAAATGGGAGTATCTTGTACATTCTGAGTTATTCCATCTGCTGAGTATAAACGAATAAGGAAAATCACTGCTATAAAGACTCACAAGGCTTGTTTATTATTAGTTGGAAAAAAATTACTCTAGTGTAAATACTGTTGCCTATACGAACACACAAGTGTTTCACAGGGACCTGTTGCTTCAGTTTCGATTAGATCTGTACGTGTGCACTATGTTCGACAAGTTGACCATAACGGGAGTGTTAGCAGTGATGAGAATTTAATCTGAAGAATGTTTGAAATTCGGTGGTCAACTGTAAGTAAATGAACAAGTAAATTTGAGCCGGAGGTTAAAAGACGAGAGTTGACCAATAAGGAAGGAATGATTTTACAAAAGGAACACGGACCATGATTCTCCCGACCACGGTCACATCTGCGTTAGAATCAAGTTACTTTAATAGATTCTAAAGAATTACACAGTAGTTTGCGCCAGACAAATTGTGTTATCTGTTCTATTCGCTTGTTCCACGTCACTCCGATGCTCATCACCCCGGCCACACAACGAAGCCTTTGTCTAAACGATAAAACTGACCATTATCCAGCTACTCTGCATAAGAAAAAAGTAGTGTCAAGTAGCAGCATCTAGTCGAAAGTGAACGTCGGAACAGTTAAATTGATGTAAATTTCGAATAAGTGAATAAGGTTAAAGAGTGATTGTATTTTTAGCCGGCTATTTTCTGTCTACCCAAAGCCTAGATCAAAGAGAGAGTGAGATCAGATCAAATTCCAAGGAGTGGCCATGAAGGATATCGCATCAGTACGGCCGTAATACGGAGCAGTCATACACTATTGTAAGTGTACAGTCGTTCTACTATCCTAAAAGTTAGCACCGTGAAGGGGGAAATAGACATTTATATAATGCAAATAATTTGTTTGATTTTATTCTACTGTGGTTTGATTATCTTAAAAAACCAACAAGTAAGGGAGGTGCGGGAGTAATGAAGAACTTCATTATTGCACGATATATAATCCTAATAATTTCAGTACAGAATATCGTAAGTGATTAAATTTATCAGTATTGTAGTATGCAGGACCGACCGTAACTCTGAAACCACTTGAAACACACTGGTAGGAGGTTGACTCCGGGCAACGCAGTTCAAACTCTTGCACCACTATCGTCGTCTCAAAAGGCCGAACAATCCCTGGTCACTCCTTTGGGAGCGCAATGAGCTGACAAAATACACTTCTCACAGTTGGTTCTCCTTGGAAGGGGCTTTCAAGCAACCTGCAAGACAGGGAAAATACAAAATGCAACCATAAAATAAGGTCCAGTGAGACATGCACCCGACGCACACAATTCAAAACGGCTGCGACGGTGCTTTAACTACAGTATTTTAATCTGTGCCAAATACAAGAGTCCTGTGCATTACTCCTCTACANGCACAAGCCACAACTGTTCAGTAGTGCGGTTCTTGGAGATTGATACTGGTTGTTTCAGATGTGAGAAAAATTTCAATCACACTCACTGAGCTCTGAAATACGTTATTTAATGGAACTACATGATTGCACCAGAAATTATAGTGATTATTTCAGAAAATATTCTGGTCTGAAAAATTTGAATTAGGATAGCTTATGACCCAGTAAACTGCTTGCAAATCTGCAAGGTCTTTTTTAACGCACATATAAATCAAATACCGATCAATTTAATACCGGATTCATCCATTCCCCCGAGATTTCAGAAGATAGGTTTCAGTGAGCTATTTTCCCATAGACAACATGATGCAAATGGACTAAAATAGTGTTTGATGATACAAACTTAGGTGATCTTATATATCCCAGTCATACTTAGTCACCGTATTTGACCACGGGTTAGCTTTGATTGCTCGTAGTCCCGTTTTTGGTGAGTCAATCTACTCTTGATTTGTTATGATAGCTCGATGATCTTCCAATACATCCATCCTCATGAAATCAGACGAACGTTGCACTGAGTTAGATCACATGCTTCTACGTCTGAGTGGAATAAAAGTCCACTTACTCGACTTACAATACCGGTTCAGTAGATTTTCGAGAAGAAGGCAGTGGCCGATTAAAGATTGCTAAACAATAAATGAGAAAATAAGGTGATAGTGACTGCATGCTAACTAAAGAACTACAATAAGAAGGGGGAGTATATCACTTGATCACGGCTGCCCAGCCCGAATGAAATCACACATCACTGCGGCATCTCGTTTTGAAGTTTCCTCAAGAAAAATAGCTGATCAACCCGCTCAAGCACTAAATGTACTCAATCTGGGTTTGCAGCTTAATGATATCTTGAGGCGATGAAATCATAACTTTCGTGGCTAGCTTGCCTCGTTCGTTAATCTAGAAAATGTAGATTTCTATTCAGGTACATCTTGGTTATGAGCCG